AAACTGGTGCTGTCAGGTGCTGTCAGCTTTTCTGATGGGATTTCACATGTTTTCATCTCCCTTGAGTTTTTCAGCCTCTTGCATTTTGTGTCAATGCCAGGCTCAGGGTTTCCAGCTTTCACTACCAATTGGCATGAGGGGTGTTGAGAGTAAAGATTTCTTTTAAGTGATCCGCACATCTGCTTTCCCTTCTGTATTAGCTGGGAATATTTTTTCCCTCTTTTCTCTTTGGCACATTTCCTCCATTTACTCTCCTGTTGAAATGCTTTACTGTTTCCCATTATAGCAGTAGCATCTTCTTTATCTATTAAAATTTTCATCTTTTTCTGTCTTTCCCTACAACGCTTTTCACCAGTGGTTTAGCTTCTGCTGCTCCTTCTGTGCCGCCTTCTAAATTTTTTTCATTCTTACCATTTTAGACTTCTCCTTTCTCTTGGCAAAGGGCCACATTTTCTGCCTGTGGTTTTCTTCAGTTACGACTCTTGCAGTTTAATAACATTGCTGCTGAGCTGATCTCAGGGCTGCTGAGTCACTTTTACCTGTGTTTGACAAAGCCTCAAATGAATTTGTCAGCATCAATCTGAGCTTGCTCATAATATCTTTCGGCTGTTCCATCTTGTACTGTTGGCCAATTCTGACTACTTCTTGAAGTCACTAATTTGCCATCATACTTACAGGTTGGCAGTGGCCAGATTGGTCAGTGGTACCAGTAGTTTGGAGCAACTGTGTTTTGGATGAACAAGCTGAATTTTGTTTTGCCACATATCAAATGTGAAAGTCTATATGAGTAACTAAAAGCTTTTCAAGAAGAGAGCAAAAGAATGTCTTTCTGATTCAGACTCTTGTGTCCTACCTCACTTCATGGCCTGTGTTGCATTATTAAAGGAAAAGAACAGAGAGTGATCCTTCCCAGTCTATCCTTGCAGTTTCACCAAAACCACTGTGTTTAAACACACTAGAAATAAAGAAATATATATAGAAATATCCTGCATTATTCTTCCAAACCCTGTTTTAATTGCTTTATACTTCAGGATCCAAGGTATTTTTTGCCAGTGAGTGACATGAAGCAAATAAAAGTTATGTAATGCACCTACTTCATTTTTTTAACCATTTGAGAGATCCCTTGAACGCCTTCTAATGATACCTTAAGAGGAGCCATGAATATATGTTCACACATCAATATCACCTTGTTGCACATGACTTTATACCATATTTCCTGTGCTGTCTTTTCCTCTGTCATCTCTTGGTTACCTGTAAGTAGTGCAGCTCACCTAGCTCCTTGAGATCATAATTTTTAAGAGCTTTTGGCAGCAGACCTTGGAAAAAGTTCTCTCATATCCACATGCTCATAATCCACCTTCACAGAGCTATAAATACATTTGTAGGGCATCACATTCTCACAAAAACCCACTTCCCACAGTTATCCACGGACCGGTACTTCTATTTTTTATTACCATTTCTATGTATTTGCAACTGTGTAAGTTGGACCTACTGATCTTTAGTTCTTGTCACCATTATGGGAAGTCTTTATAAGCACAGTTGTCACATTTCCTATCTTCCATTCCTCCTTTACTGCTATTAATACAAGCAGTAGCTTATTTCACAGTAAATAGTTCAGCAGTTTTCTAGAGTTCTTTCAAAAGTCTGAAGAGGATTCTTTAGATGAACCTTAAGAAGTTCTAAAAGAAGAGACTGAAAATTTCAGAGACTTGTAATGGTTCCTCTAAAGAGAATCCTGGCTTTAAGAAGCCAGTCATCTGGCTTGCTATAGGCTTTGCTTATTTATTACCATTCATTTTGTCAAGATCTTTCACTTCTGGAACCACTTTGACTGATATTTACCAGATTTCCCTGTATCTCGTTACTATTACAGCCTAGGTTGGTAATAAAGGTCATGTAAAAATGGAAGTTGTATCATCACATTTTTTCAATAACAGTTTGGCAGTAATTGTTCAAAACATTTCCATTCTCATCACCACACTCTTTGGAGCAGTACATCTTTCACCAGGCTGATCTTTCAGTAACTGGTTTGGACCTAGCATATATTCCACACTATTGATGATACCAGGTCAATGGCAATTTTCCATTGTAATTACTGCTTGGTCATAAGAAGTGCAAACAGTATGATCTGAATAGTTGAGGTATTTCTTCACTTGTCTAAAATGCTTATGGTCTGCATCTGCAATTACTGATATATTGATTTTTTGGAGAGAAATGTTGTCACTTCCATCATGATCTAAAAGATCCCTATGGGTTTTTATCATTCTTTTTCTGAATTATTATACTCACAATAGCATGGTCAAGGTGCCTGGGGTGTTTCTTTCCAAGGTGCTTTCCGTTGGCAGACCTTAACTTTTCAGGACCCTAGCTTTTTGAAATTAGTAATTACCAGGACCCTCCATGAAGTACAAGCATTGAGAAGTCTTTTGCAGTCACTTTTACTGAAGAGGTAACCTGATCTCATTTACCTTCTGATTTTACTGATCAACAACTGTACCAAAATGCCACATACCTGCTTCTTCACTCTTTCAGCCCTGGGGCCCTAATCTAACATTTTTTGTTCTCAACCCCCTTCTTTTGCTCTTTTAAACACTTTGAAGTTTGTTTCTTGATATTGTAACAGTAAACAGTTCTTTCTGTTAAAATGTTGTATTGAAAACTACTTTTTTGTAACTATTTGAATATTGTACTGCTACATGTGGGAGAGAATTCAAAAAAATGCTCTTTTCTGACACCCACACAGCACAATGGAAATGAGCAGTTTAACACAGCAACTTTAATCACAGACACATATACTAAACTAATTGTGGTTTGCTTCACTAACAGTTGGAAATTCTCAAAAAGGCAGATATTTTGAACATATTTCAATATGTGTTCTTTCATTTTCATGACTTTCCCCCCTTGGCAGAGAGTACATAGTCAGCTACTAGGTTTTTTTCCTTCACTCCAAATTTCTGTCATTTCCCAATGTAACCAGCAGTTTTCTTAAGCAAATACTCATTGTTCTCAGTATGTTTGTCCTCCATAGAGTGTCCCATTTCATGGTAAACATATGAGATTACTTTCTTCTTGAAATCATGCTGTACCAACAAGATAGAGAACATTAAAGGAATATCAAAGAAAAACTCAGCTGAATACATGGAAAGCAGTGGAAAATCTATTTATCGGTTTCTATTCCTTGAAAACATCAATCATAATGGAAGGGTTTGTTAATCACCATACTATTTTTTTTTTGGCTCATATTTCCTTCCCTTTTCCTTGTGAGATACACATCTAGAAAAAAGTCAACTCTCTTCTATGGTAGCAAAATCATAATTAAATACATCTCTAGCCAGTTGAATGAATTGCAATGTCTGAAAGGCATCATTTTTCATTCTGGGAAAAAGAATGCTTTGGTTTATGTCTGGTTTCACTCGTTCAGATGTCATGATTTCTAATGGCAAAAGGCAAGCTGGAAAAAAAAGTAAGGTCAAACCTTTTCATAACGACTGAAAAGCTCTTTATAAACAAGGAAAGATGTGTATATGCTTCTTTAGTATTGCTTTGGTATTAAAGATTTAGATCCCATCTGGTTCTTTGCTCATAGACTACTTTGGAGAATTGATTAATCATCACAAAAGTAAAAATGCGCCTTTCGTTACTAGCAGGTTTTGTGAAACACAAGATTTCTCCAGTATGTTTAATAAAGATATATCTTTCTTCTTACAGTAGCAGATATGTATATCAGAACATAAGCAATGTACAGCTGCAAGAGTGTATGCAATTTTATTCATGTCTGATCTCAAGCTACTTGTGAGAAAAGAGACATTTCTTATTAAACAATATTTTAATGTGTAAAAAAAAATCAAGCCAAACTCGCTTCTTTCATGATGTTGTTTATGACATTAAGGGAGTACCATTATCAGACTAAAACCTCACAAAATCCGGACAAAGTTCTTCTGCTAAGTTAATGTTAGGCAACTAAAGAGATGCCTACAACAAATTTTCATAATGAAAAATTTTATAAATACAATTAAGTCTGTAATTTGAATGATTTTATGCAATATCATTAAATACAAAGACTCTTTCAGAAACAGAAAAGGAAAAAAAAATGTTATTGCTCGTTCCATGATTTCCTGCCAGGATATTAAAGTCTTTCAAAATGAGCCACGCATTTGTAACACAGACACTGCAGGATTAGGAAGATTGTGGGATCAAGTGTTCCAAAAACCAAAATGGAAATGCTTATCTAGCTACAGAGAGTGGATGAGGCTCTTAATTTCAACAATGTAGCATACTGTGTGCACACCTACATCTCCCAAATGTAAGTAATGAATATATGCCATCTTCAATTAATTTCTTTTTATTAAATTTGAAGTTTTAGAGAATATTCTGCATTTACTGAGGCAACAGTGAGATTCCAAGAGATCTTACAAGATTTTCAGTGAGGTAAAAGCAGAAGGTTCATTAGGTTAGTACATAAACGCTGCATCAGAAATTTAAAAATACTCTTGAATATGCTCTTGCTTAGTGAAAAAGTAATAATCTTTAACCACAGAATCAAGTTTAAACTCTCTAGGAGCTACCTGGAAGTATTTCTCTTTCATATAATTATTTTCAAACTAGTCTCTCAAATATATTGAAAACAAACATCATTCCCAATAGTGGTAAAACAGAGACTTTCAAGATCCCGAGATTCTAAAAGCCCTATGTTCCCTCAGGTACCTGCAAAATTGGCCTGATTTTCCAGAATTACTTTGAACATAATAGGTTTCCTTGATTTTTGCTGAACACCTACAAATGTAAGAGTATTTCATTGGAAGACACAAATTGCTCAACTTTTCTTTTTCCAAAACTACATAAACAATTGAGGAAAACATCCCTATTTGGAAATCCCACCCTCCCCTTGACCTGAGCTCCTTACCCGATAAACTGACTCTCAAAAGGAGAAGCTATACACCTAAGATAAATGAGTCTGTACCACAAAGTGAGGAATATCAAAGCAAAACAAGTCAGTTTACCTTTGCCTTGCGAAAATGGTAGACTACCAGCATGCTTATGAAGTCCAGCAGCATACAGAGCGTTTGGAACGAGATGATAGCCAGCCGCAAATACTTGTCCTCCTGTGCATAGCAGGGAGTATCGTCTGTACAGTAGGAACATCCTTCTCTGCAGGGCAGGCAGGTGTAGACTTCCTCCGACAATTCACCAACTGAAAAGCGATTTTCTGCATCTTTTCCTGAAAGTATCAGAAGGGCAAGGGGAGACACCTTTAGTTGTACAGGATGGGGAGTTCATCCAGACAGAAGCAAGTCATTACTCTGCTGGGCTCCCTTTCCCTCCCGGTTGGTCTCTCTAATTAGGTTACAAAATAGCTTGACCAGTGTTGCTTTTCTCACTTCAATCTCCTTTGTAACAGTCAGAAAATGCAGACCAAATTAGATATGAAGGAAAGTGAGCTTGTTAAACATCAAATGCTTCCCTGTTATATTTAAAGTTGGATAAATCTGCACGGCAAATTCTATGAAGGAGAATTCTGAATGGGGACAAAAAGTATATGAAAGATTTGAGAATAAGGAAAGGAATTCACACAGACACATGAAGAGCAGACCCATTAACTACCTAATGTTCATAGTACAAGCTCTGATCCTATTTCAGATTGTTCCTCAATTTCATAAAGATGCTATCTAGTGAATTAATGAGCTTCAAATTAGATAAAACTCTTCTTAATTAACATTTGTTCAGCATGTTGTTGCATGATTGCACTACTCTGTGCCCAAAGCAAAACCAGTCCACTTACACTAAGTATAATTTTCCATTGTTCACACAAGGACATCAGGAAATCTGGAAAACCTACTGGCAAAAATTAATATTTTGTCTATGAAAATCAGTGATTCTTGAGCTGACATCTCATCCATCAAAATGAACCCATCAACAGTGCACATAGAAGGATTCCAACTTTTCCTGATCTGTGAATACTTTCCTGTAAACCCCTCTAAGGCTTCTTACCCTATAGGCAATTAATGGAGTAAAAAGGTGAAAAGGGGCAAAGAAAGAATATTATTAAATAAGATGGAAAACTGAATTTACTGAAAATGCTTACTATAGGCAAGATAGCCTTAGGACCTCAAAGAAACAAGAGAATGTGGCTGAAGTCAAATCAAAGGCATGTTAAAATGTGTGATAACTCCTCTCACTTTACACAAGACTAAAGAATTGCTCCAATTTCTTTGATCAAAAATTTCCTCTGTCACTGACAACAGTAAATCATCCATTGTTTAGTCTTAATTCAAGAGACATCTTATTCCACCGATGTTGCACGTGCATATGGGCTTATGGAACTCTCCTCAGACTTTTAGCTTGAAACATTTTAAACAGAAGGTTATCTCCAAGGGCAATTACTTATTGCCTTCTCAAATCTATGTACAAATGTGCATGAGTTCATATCTGCTGATGGTCAAAGCCTGAGAAAGGGACAAAGAGGCCCTATACCCAGGCCTGTTTATTTGGCATGCCATTCCAACAGCCTGTGCTCCTCGACCTCAGTGCAGGGTGCTTTGCTCCCACATCCCCTAGTGGGAAGAGAACAGAATGGTATTTCTCATGAAGACTGCGAGTTTCTCTTTGGAGTGTTATTCTAGACAAAGATGTTGGAAACCTGAATAGAGCAGAGTAGTGCTGACTCACACTGATAGTCAGATTTTCTTAGATACAAGCAGACAGCAAGAAGAGATTTTGTGCCTTTTTGACCCAGACTGTGGGAGGCAGGAATGGAAATGTTGGAAAATAACCACGCTTGGGCATGACGAAAAGGTGGAGAACCTCTAAGGAATACCATCTTGAAGGTATCATAGGACTGGAAATCCTCTTCAGAGCAAACAGCCATGGGCCTCAGCACATTATCATTCCAAGAGCTTTACCAGAAACCACCATCTAACATTACAACCCTGTTTTCTTAATTACAGCTAGAGCAATGGACCCATACTGTATTCTGGCAGAGAACAGAAGTTACAGTCCCCCGCCTCCCATCTCCATATCCAAATCAAGAGTGTCCAAGTTTTCCACTTTGTTTCCTCAACAGTTGCACTTGTCAACCTGCCTTTCCACCACACACCTGTTACTTTATTGTTTCTTAAAGAGTTGCCCTTCAATTAGCCCATCTCCAACGTGAGCCATTCGTTAATATATTTTATGGTGTCAACTGAATAAATTATTTGCAGCATAAAAACATATACACTGAAAAAACCAAAATTTAAAACCTATAGCTATGAGACTACTAGTCACAAATATTATATGAATATGTCTTGATAATTTTGCATGGTCCTAAACTTGATACACTTACTTTATTTCTGAAATGTTCAACCTTGAAAGTCATTGCAAATACATTATAATCCATTTTATCAAGGATTTTCTTATCTGAATCACACGTGGGAGTTTCTTCATGCGTATACGAATATATACAGGGATAACAGCCAATAAACAGTTGCATGTTGCAATAAATATTCCACAGATATGACTTCATAACACAACAGCAAGCCTTCATTTAGCTTTGTCTGGTGTCATGTTGTCTGTTGTACAAAAAGGAAGATCATCAATACAAATCTTCACTGTCTGCACTGCCAGATACAAATGATTTTTCTGTGAATATTTTTTGACTTGGAAACAATTCGTTGTTTTATAGGTAATATAAGAAAGATTAAAAAAATTTGATTTAGCTGAGGTTTTCCACAATGTGGTAAGGAACTATTTATTAACAACCCCCATATTTTTAGTTTTTTTCCTCCTTGACAAAAAGAAATAACATTTTTCAGACCCTCTAAAAGAAGTTCTTGGGAAAGAATGTCCATTTTAATTACCACTGACTGGAAGTTTGTTTGCCCAATCACACCCTTGTCCTGACTGTATGACTCAGGGCACTGAACATTTCTGCCCTTTATTTCTGGTCCTGTCCACTCACCAAAGTCAATGGAACATCAATTCAAACCACAGACAGTCCCAGCCAACCATGACGTTAGTGCCTCTGACAGTATTGCTTAGAGATTTCATTGTGCCTTCTCCTGTCTCAGCAGTTCTTTGGGATTACATATCTCCTCCAGTGAAGAAAATCAGTTTTTCTTCCTCAAAAGATGACAAAAGATTCTGGACACTTGTAAGGTAGATGGACAAGAAGTCAGTTCTGTTCTACATAAGGTTGCAGAGTTTTTAGCATGGACACAAATGAGACAGAAGTTATACTGTGCTGCAGGGAGTTAAAACTGAGAATGAGGAAGGTGTAAAAAAGTACCATTCTAAAGGAAAAAAAGAACAGAAAAAATTGCAGTAACCAAAAAATAAAAAGCATAAAAAGGAAGAAGAAAAGAACAAAGAATTGATGAAAAGTAGGAATAGGGACACAAACTAATACAAAGTACAATACAATAAAACAATAAGCTTAAAGGCTTCAGCTATATCCACTCTACAATATTTTTCCCTAGTTCTTCCCTCTTCTATCCCAGCTTATTTTTCTGCTGGATTGGCCCATCTGCTTTTGAAATGGTCTCCTGAGGGCAACTCTTCATCAGCTTCAGTTCTCCTAAGGACACTTTGCCACGCAAGGGATGCCTCAGCAGCTGCAATATTGCCAGTTGAGATCTTCCTGCAAACTAAGAATGGCACCACAGCCTGCCAAGATCCAGGGCAGGAATTGCTACTGTCCCAAACCAAATCATCCCACACTCCAGTCAGAACTCAGCAGATGAATACAGAGAGCACAGTGCATGCTGAGCACTGAGCAGAACAAAAGACTGATTCTGCTCCTTTTCTGTAATAGTGTAAATGAGGAACAACTCCCGTTGCTTCAGCGATGCTGCAGGAACCCAGTGGGATAACTGGACCTGCTAGCATCAAAACCTCGTAATCTGCCATGGCCATAAGCCTCAGCCTAGAAAGGGATCGCTGAAGTCAGTACCAACCTCCATATGTGCTAAGATCTGCACGTGTGAGTTCTGCTGAAGAACCAAAGCCAAAGGGCAGGTGTAAAAAAGGAATTCCAGTTGAACTGAAAACCCCTCTTGGAACTTTTAATGTGATCATAGCAGTGTTAGAGACAGCACAGTCCTGTATTCAGACAAAAGGGCCACCTCTGGTGCAAGCACCTTTTTGCACAAGGCAGGTTCCACATCCAAACAACAAGAGCTAAGCAGAACTTCTACAATATATGGACGACGCATTGCTAAAGAGAGAACTTTTAGGTTGAACAAAGCACCTTGGTTCTGCTTAGGATTTTCCAATGCAAACCTGATTATCCCACGAGGCAGAGAACAGAACTGCTTTGGAGAAGGGTGTTCCAGAAATGTTAAAATGTAAGTAGTCATCAGTTAGTCTATTCTACCTATACTAAAAGTGCTACCCAAAAATGAGCCATTAGGAGAAAGTGCATAGTCATGTACTCAAGCACTTACAGGTTAATACAACCTGCACACATGAAATATGTTTTTTTTCTAAAACAAATTTCCAACCTCAAAAGAGACCTCGGGAATTTTTCAACAACTTTGTGCCCCACTGGTACCCAGGGTCCTCACTGACACGTGCACAAAAAATAGAAAGGTTTTACATATTTTTGGCAGTTTCAGTTCTGAAGAACTGATGCAGACATGGGAGGGAAATGCCCTCCTACCTGGTTTCTTATTCAGTTAGAGAACAGCCTAAATTCCAGCTGTGCCCCTGTCCCAAACACTCTTTGGGAACCTGCAACACGTGCAAATTCCCTGGGAGCAGCAACATTGTACTGCTTTAAGACAGAAAAGCAACTGATCTGCAGAATCTTTCCTACATGGGACACTGTTTATGCCACATTGCATCCTGGCGCTCAGGGCAACAGCTGAGTTTGCAGAGAGGCAGAAAAGCAATCTTATAAGCCTTCCTACCAATAAACTGTGTAGTGCTCAACATCTCTGAAAAGCCACTTAATACAGGCATCTTTCAGGCTCAGACTGAAACATTAATCTGGACCTAGAGCAAAACCTTTCCCCCGCTTAGAAGTCAGACACTTCAGACACTTGTGCAGCTGTAGTTAACCATATTCTTCTGTGAAGCAGAATCCCAGTATCACTGATAAATGCTCCCATTTCAAGACACAACACACTCAATCTAATTTTTAAATCCAGAAAAGTATAAAACTGGTCATTTTTTCTATCTATCTTCTTTCTCGTATCTCAAGACCTGCAAATCTTTGCTGCCTCCTTATTTTATTCCACTAGGAATACTTTCTAAATGATTAACATTTCTATTCAGTTTCATCTCTTTTATCATCAGATTTCATCAACCTATCTCCACAGAGATCTTCAGGTCAGACAGTTTCTGTCAAAACTGCTTGCAGGATTTGTGTGTAGAATTCCTATGTTATCATCGTTTTGAAGCACCAAATACATACTACAGCCATTTTAACCATGGAATTTTTTTTCCTCTTTTCTTTTTACAGAATGCAACTGTTTGACAGGGCCAACTTTCCTTTGAACCACAGGTTTTTTCTCATTACTCAGTCATTTCCAGTCTCACTGGAAAATCAGATGGAGCTGCATCTGGATGAATTAAAGCAGTTCTTTATTACTATTTCAAAACTCACAGATACAAAGGCTCAACTCAAACTGGCCCCAAATCATGTAATTACACACCCTAAAATATCAGCATATGCAAACACTTTCTTGAGACAAATTTCACTCTGTTAGGAGCTAAATATCCTTTCTCAGGTAGGTATATAGGCTCTTCCTTCTAAAGTAAATGAAGAAAAAAGGTTACTTGTCTGAGGTATTACTTTTCCCATCTAAAGACAAATTTCCCTCCAGGGGAGCCATGTTCTTCATGCTGACCGCAGTTCAAACCTAGGTGACTAATACATAGGGAGCCTATACATGATATAAAATTAAGCTCATCCCTGATGATCAATGCTGTTGTGATCTCTAGGCACATTATTTTCGTGTGTTCTCTGGCATTTGGTATGACAAAAATCTAAGAATTATTTTTTTTTAATACGCTCACTCAAGGAGTTAAATCCCAATTCCACCAGAACTCACTGCACTGCAAGAGGAACCAAACATCCTCCTTACTTCACACAGCCCAGAGAAACAGCACTATCACAAGGCTGCCATCTGTGATACTTTACAATATGAAAAGAGAAGGGGAAACAAACACTCACGGGGTAAACTGTTGAACAAACTGTGCTATTTAGGCTACAAATACATACAGGAGACATGATATCTCTCACAGATAAATATGTGCACGGTTAAGTGTTGAATAGTACTAGAGGTATTTCTATAGCCATTTACAGACAAGGCAGGAGATAATACACACAGTCTCGGATCAAGCTTGGTGAAAGTTATTCATTGCCATTCCCTGGGCATCTCATACAAACTGCTCTCACAGAGCAGAGCTGATGACATGAACCTCTGGCTAAAGAATAGTGCAAAGAAGCTGGGGATGGTATTTAACTGAAAGCAGGAGGCAGAGAAGGATGCCCTCTTACACTTTCAAGCAGCAGCTTTGCACCTATGACTGCAGCATGAGCTCTACTAGTACAACTACAACAATTACAGCATAAAATCTGTCCAGAGATTTGGTCATATGATAAAAGTACAGACATCAAGTTTGGGCATGCAGTTTATCTGTTTTCCCTGCTGAGAATCAACCAAGTTCTGTTTCCCCTGCTGTGGACAACTCAGTCCATACAATGTGTGTCCTGGGTACGTGGATGCTGTTTGTCATCCATATCATACAGCCAAACAGACTTCCAGGCCTGAACCATCTCTATTACCTCATCGGCATCTCCCTTGGAATTCTCCTTTGCAAATGAAGTAAAATAAAAACAATTAAAGCCCACACAAAGCCAGAGGCTAGGGCATTGTCATTTCCTCTGGCCAAAGTGAAAATGAGTAGATTAATTTCCAGAATACTTCTGCTTGAGCACAGGTGCCAGAAATCTCTATTTCCCCTTAGCACAACTTCTTTTCATGTTTTTAAATTTATTTACAAATCAAATATTCTTCAAGTGGGTATGTTTTACAGGATCCTCAAGAGTATTGTGAATGACAAACCAAAGGGCTAGAACTCCTTAAGTGATTATATAATCCGAGAGTTGCAAACCACTGGGATTTTACTGTATAACCCAGACAAGGATAAAAAGGAGTCCTGCATTATTAATGCTAGATCTGTTTTCTTTTTTTTTTTTTAGCTCAAGCAAAGGCACTTACTCTGAAAGCTGTTCACTGAGAAGATGTTGGGATGATAGAATCCAGCTTTGCAAATACATTTGTAGGCTCCAAGCACAAATCCAAGGCCTTTAATTGGCATGCACTGTGAGAAAGGAAAAAAAGAAAAGTCATGCAGATGATCATACAACTGTATACTCAGATGTACATTCAGGCATAAAAACATTACAAGATATTGTGCACAGACTTCTAAGAACAAATAGGCACTCCTTGCAGACTGACAGTATTTTCTCAGTGGCTTTTCCTGTAGTCATATATCACTCCAGTTTTTTTCCCTTGCCGTTCATCACCAACAAACAGCAAAGACAGCTATAATCAAGCCTGTTCCACTGGTGAACTGACCAAGTGCCAAATTTGACTCTTGCACATTTGCTCTAGGCAGGACATCCAATGGTTGTGTTTTTCCCTGAAGAGTTTCCAGCACTTTTTCCCAGCACAGCAGGTGGAGACAGCTGGAGCTCACACTACATGAGTAAGAACATGGACACCCACAGCCAAGCCACCAACCTTCTGCCAGCAGCACATGCCGGTGCCCCCGCCACAATGGCAAGCACAGCAGAGTGGGGATAACCCAGTTAAAACACAAACAACTGGTTAGAGAAAATGGCTACAGACATACATCTAACACTGGTGAAAGAGAGAAAACCTATGTCAACAGGAGCTCCATACTTTTAAACTCTCTTGTCCCTTTTGGAGGAAGCAACACGTGAATTTGTTTAAATGCAGCTTCACTCTTGCTTACTTCTGACATCAGGTCAACCATAGCAAATTTTTTACCATGACAGAACATCTAGTGTTAGACCATTTCTGTACCTCAAACAGTCTCTGCCTAGTACAGAGGAAAGAAACAGTACAGCAACATAAAGGTAGAAACACTGGTAAAATTATGTTTCCCAGTACAGTTTATTTCACTTCATCAGATTGAAGTAGACTTCTACACTAAATGCCTTTCCCATCAGTAAAGGTGTACTTACAGCATAGGTGTACCTATACCAACACACCTCCATGAATAAGAACTAGACACCAACAGTTCCTCAGTGACCAACTGAATGATTTAATTTAAATAGCCTCTGCCCTCTCACCTGACTGTGACTTCAGAATATGCTTCAATCTCTAACTGTCTGTAACTGGCAGGGAGATGAAGAGGACAAGGTTCAGTAAAAAACATTTGAGTTTCAAAAAGTCAAGTGTACAACAAGAAAGGCCTTGTGTCTGCACTGACACTTTAGAAAAATTCAAAAAGAAAAATTAAAAATAAATAAAGATTAATAAATTTTTATTATCTCAAATTTCAGCTTTGTGACATCATTCTGCCTGATGTGAGGAAAGCCACTTTGCTTTTCTTTGCCTCTGTTTCTCAGATGGCATCATCTTTTCTTGCACCCTTTGCCAATCCGTCATCCGTGCAGGCAGTGCAGGCTGTGGGTGCTCTTGGTAAAAAGCTAATGAGTAGGAAACTGGTATGCAAGAACACTGAAAATTCCTTCAGCTTTTGTATAAACATGAAAGGAAAAAAAAAAAAAGCAAAGAGAAGGCACAAATTTTTTTTTTCACACTTTATGCTGTAGAAATATGACTGTTGACAGGGTGGAGGGCAGGAGAAATTGAAGTGGGATGAGTGTGTGTGCAAGTCCAATGACAGCAAAACCTCTTTAACCAGGTGTAAAATGGTAGTTAAAGTGTTGAAAAGACTCTTAAGGAGAAAATTCTCTTCTGCCTTTCTGGCTTCTTGCTTTGTAACATGAAGATACACCGTACTACAGAGACTGCATTTTCTTTTTGAAGGAAAAGAAGAAAAGAAGTAGTTTCTACTGTATTCTGTGAACACTATATTCATAATCCTTTCCCACTGAACAAATTCATAAAAATCATAGAATTATTCACATAAAATATGCCATAGGTTCATGAATCTGTTCTGCATTAAAATGAATGTTTAACTGATGGTCCTTTCACAAACACACATTATTCACATCAAATAAAATTCTGTACCTTTTATTTTATTGTCACTGACCAGTCTAGAACTTGAAAATCACCAAAATATTTCAAATGCTGTAATCTTTCCTTGGTCTAGGACATTATCCTTGCTTCCAGACTTTGGTAGCTGTAATAATGCACACCCTAAAAATTGTCAATTTGTTTCTTGCATTGCATATAATCCCATGCAAAGGTGCAATAGGGGTCAGGACAACCTGTTGAAAGGTGGAATGAAGAGAAGGAGAGAAAGAGGCCTAGATCATTCTAGATCTAGGCTAGATGCAGTTTCAAACTCTGAAATTCCACTCTGCTCGACACTTCATGCAAACATTTACAGCCTGAGGTTTTTCAAGAAATTGCAGCAGCTAGGCGGGGAAGAACACTAAATACCATGTGGCCAAAAATGGGAAAAATACTTTCCCTGGAAAGAAAAATTTTCACTCTTTTCACAAAAGATTTAACAGTTAATATTTTATTAACCAATGGTGGTAAATATTATGGTGAAAAAGGTAATAAATAAATTGAGTAAGAGTTTTCTGCTGCACAGAAGGAGTTTAGCAAAGTCCAGATTTGTTTGCAATGTTTGTAAACAGACACAGAGGTTTTTCCTGGCTGTCTGTGGGTGAATCTACACAATACATAGAAGGCACAGACAAGCAGTTTTTGTCCTTGGTTCCAGTGACCCCAGTGGCAGACTCTGAGCACAAGCCTGGCAAAGCTGTACCAGCTCACCCACAGCAGCCACAGATTGGCCACGGGTCTCAGAGCCTCAGGAGTGCAGGAACTGAGCAACACACAGCAGACTGTGCAGACACAGCCAGTAAAATATTAATCTGCTGCTGAGTTACTTAAGATTTGATCCATATAGAACTTAGCACTGAAAAAAAAAGCAGATATGTGAAAAATATCTGCTTCCACATAAGCAAAAAAAAAAAAAAAGTAAGCATAAAACTGATCTGGTTTCAGATTTCATTATAAATGTGAAAGCAAAGCTCTGGGAATAAACCCACCATATTACTGAGCATTTTTCAATTCATCAGTACTCATAAGCTTTTTAAAAATCATACTTTATTTAATTCATGAAAGCAGCTACTATAGGTTAGATCAGAAGCTCCATTTAGGCTTGTATCACATCTCCTACATGCCCAGAAGCCAGTGTCAAGGCAAACAGTGAAAGATGCAGATGGCTATTGAATGATCCTTCACCCATATGCCCTTCAGGCCATCATAATCCTAAATGGAATTTATATTGCTTTAAATTCCAGCCATTAGTTCTTACAGATGGCTTGGTTACCATTAAGATCAGCTTTATCATTTTCTCTGCTAAAAAGAGAATAGGTGTGTGTAGAATTCACACAGCACATTTATTCCACCTATCTGTTCCCTGGTACTATATTTTTAGCTTTATAGTATTAGTCTAATTTACTGACTCCCAGGCTTAACACAGTATGCTTTAAATTCTATATTCAGCTCAAAAAAATAAGATATTCTATGAATATTTATCTTGAAAATATTTATAAATAAATAGCCCCTGAATCAACACAGACACAGCATCTAAACCATTTTTTTTGAAGTCTGTATTGGTTTCATTTTTTGTTGCTTGTTGTAAAGGACAATGTTGGTAAAATCTAATGCGATAAAGATTATCTCTGCTGGAAGAAAATAAACCTTTCAAATAACCTGTGCAGTTGCTTTGAAAGTCTGAGCCAAATCTTCTGGGACAAGAGAGACAAAGCCCTTCATCAGATCTGATTAGGCAGAAACCAATTGCCAAGTATTCAGCAGACACACAAAGCAGGTGTTACATCCACATTGGATGTAACAGAAAGGGGAGAAGAGGGCAAAAAGAAACTAGTAGTTTAAGAGAAAGGATGTGGCATCATGTCCTACATGTAATTTAGAAACTCAGACAAATGACTAAACAAATCTGTCCTGTGGCATTCTTGAGCAGAGGGGGTAAACCAATAGTTTTGGAATTTAAGGAGGAAAAAAAAAACCAAACTAAAAATGCAGCCAGCCTTGATTTGGGTATTTTTAGTTTTTCAAATAGCAGCCTTCAAAATCTGTATTTCTACATGGATACAGAAATGAGAACATCTCCCTTTTCTAAAGTCGACTCCTTGTTCACAGGACGTAATAGGAGCAAAGTCATGATAGATAAAGATTAACAAAAATAATACAGGTAAGCCCATATTTCTTTGCTCTGGTCAGGGGTAGCATATAGGGGATTTCTAGAAAATGCTAAACACATATGAGTAATTTTGTGCCTGGCACACAATAGCAGCTGGAGCAGGCTGGTGTCCTGCAAGACCCCACAAGCTTTTTTCTGATCCTGTTTACCATTGTGGTCAAGCACACTCACTCATAAAAAGCATAAGAAAAAGAAGACAAAAGCCAAAGTGTCTCTGCTTAAGTCAGTGACAGCTCTGACATTGAAAAGGCTTTAGCCATTGTATTTTCTCACTTCATTTACCCTTCAAGAACAGAGTTTTATGTTACAGTGTGTTTGCAGCCTCACAAATGAACAGCGAGCACATCCATACAATCCAAGAACCTTGTGCAACACCTGGGAGGCCCTGCTTGTGTCCAGACAGCTTGGGAGGCAGCCAGCTTGCCAACCACACTACTCATAAGCTTTTCTCTTCAAATACAGCATTTTGTTTCAAAAGTACAGGACAGGGTTGGCCACTCCATGCTTTACACAACAGAGTTACTTAGGCCCCTATAGCTCTTCTCCTCCCTTCTGAGTGCATTGGTGGAGTTAATTATTTTTAGATGCAAGTTCAAAAACGTGTTTTCCAACAACAAGGGACTTAGAATAACACCAAGTTGTTTAAATCTGAGTCAGCTGAAGCACAACAACAGCTGATCTGATTCAGGTTAGAGCAAAGGTAGCTGTCAGGACAGTATTTGTCTTCCTAGTTTGATGCTTTCCTAAAAATTCCTTAATGTTTTTCAATCTGAAATTTCATTATTCTGGTTTTGTTAAGCATGGGCTGAGACTAAATACTGATGGTAAGGAGCCTCAGCTCATTCACACAAATAATGATAAATGACACGTGACTACTGACAAACCACAAGCAGAAAAGAGCAGAAAAGTTAATGTCATTTACTAAATGAAAGAGACTATAGAGCCTTTAACATCTAATTAACCTCTTTTGCAATGTGAGTCATTTTGGTGACCAGGCTGTACATCTGAGGACATACACGATTCCCTTCTGTTTATCTCCTTCACTCCCAAGATGCAGATGTTATCAGCCCTTGGGTGCATAAACACTACAAAAATGCAAGTACTAGGAAAAAAATTGGTGGCAGTGAAGAATTTTGCAAAGAAATGAGAGATGAGAAATACGTACAAATCATGCTACCTGCTTAGAAGACAGTAAAAGGAGAAAAAGTTTAATTTAGCAGTGTTTGAAAGTAGGTTACTTGGGGGCCATAGTGGGGCTACAGAGCAGAAAACGCATCATCAGCTGTTGTTGTGCACATGGAGAACCCACAGTCAGCTTACAAACTATGCTTCCCACAGTCAGGATCCTTTACAGAAGGACAACAATTAGAGCAATTTTCAGAGGATGTGCAGCTTTGACACTCACAGGTTCTCTGCAATGACAGTGTTTAAGACAGATTTTTCATTACTGCTGAAAACACCTGTGCAGTCTACAGTCAGGCTACTTTAACAATAAAAATCTCTTTACTTGGCAGTCTGGAATTGACACTGGTAACCTGAATATTATTTTAGAACACGTCCAACTTCACTTCTGATTAACATGCTAAACAATAAAATTACAATTTCTCCTCTCCTAGAAAACTGCACTGCAATTACAGGGGAACCTGTTAACAGATACCAAAGGGACTGAGAATTTTATAGCCATTAAATAATGCAGTGTAATTAATTCGTAGGCATTTTTCTCAGGGACAGATATCCTTGGCTTTGAGGATGAATTAAGACATTTTTCACCATTAGCACAGGTTAAACTTCATTTAGAGCAAAGTTTAATTCACTTCCTCGGTGTCTTACCTATATTAGAGAGAATTCTCTTCATACTGTCTCTCCATCCATTTTTTCCCTATCACTAGGATAACTGCTTTATACATGGGCAATACTAGAAATATCAAACATTATCTGCAGAACACCTTCCGGAAGCTGTCAAGGAATATGCCAAAACATACAGAGGTCCTTTACCTCTGGATATCTGGTTCTGCCAGCTACTTCTGCATTCATCTGTGACTTGGCAGCAACTGTTGCAGAGTTTGCCTGGAAGATGAGCCACACAGTGAGACAAGAAAGCTTGCCAAAACCTGCAAGAATGTGAGTCATTTCCAAAATCATTTAGTGGGGGGGAAAGCTGTATCTTTTCCTGATCCCCACAAAGGATGCAGTGTTAAGAAATGCAAAACCCCTTAATTTGGTATTACTTATTGATGTAAATTTTTAACCAAATTTTCTGTTGGCATTTCTCTGCCAATAAATGCAACTAACAGCGCTATGACAATATAAACTATTTCCATTCTGAAATCCATTTTTTGCACGTTTATAAACTTTAAAATATTTATTTATTTATTTATAATACTAAGAACACATTTTTTTCTAAAGGCCAATAGGAAATACAAGAATAGTCAGTCCAGCCCAGTAACTCATTAAGAGAATTGGGGAATTCATCAGGGAACGCATCAAGGAAAGAATAACAGAGGGTGCGTGCGAATTGCACAGCTCATCTCACAGAATGGCACAGCCAAACATCCAGTAGACTGTGCTATTCTTTGGAAAGAGTCTGACTGTTGAAGTGCTTCCTGCATGGATAGCCTGCTGGCCCTGCTAGCTGGAAAGGGAAAAAATTTCCTGTAGTTCATCCAAAAGCTAACAAATCAATGGGTAATTTAGATGCATAAATCAAAGAGGGGAATAAAATGGTGGAAAACTGCACGATATTTTAGTAAGTTAACACGGACAACATTGCTAAACCAACATTTTCTAGCTGGGAGATGTATCTGTCATTTCTACTGTATTTCCCAGCAACCACTCACATAACTACTTCTTGATTCTTAAAACATTATTTTTAGGTTGATTCCACATACTAGCAAGACATACGTAACCACACTGGAAAAGGTCTGCAACAGTTTGTGTTATTTTCCCAACCCACAGTAACTTTTCTGACTTACTGGCTGGTTCCAGACGGTGCAGTAGGGGTCAGAAACTTGCTAAGCTCCCACAGGCTTCATGAAAATAACATCCTGGTAGAGAAGAGTTACCTTCTCACTGTCCCTGCTGAGGGAGAAAACTACATCATGAGGACATACCTTTTATTAGACACCACAGATTGCTCTTTGAAACGCCAGTCACAAGAAAAGCTTTAGCTGGCACTGGTGCCTTCCTAGAGGCCAGCCAACAGCATAACACCCTCATAGGCAAACTCAGGAAGTGTGGACTGGATGATTGGACAGTGAGGCAGATTGAGAACTGGCCAGGAAGGCCAATGGAATCCTAGGGTGCATTAGGAAGAGCATTGCCAGCAGACCAAGGGAGGCAATCCTGCCCCTCTACTCAGCCCTGGTGAGGCCACATCTGGAGTGCTGTGTCCAGTTCCTGAGCTCCTGAAACAGGTCTAGTAGACGTGACAAAGATGACTAAGGAACTGGAGCATCTCTTACAAGGAAAGGCTGAGGGAGCTGGGCCTGTTCAGCCTTAAGAGGAGATGACTGAGAGGGGACCTCATCAATGCCTATAAAGTAAAGAGGGTGTCAAGAGGATGGAGCCAGGCTCTTCTCGGTGGTGCCAAGCAATAGGACAAAAGGCAATGAGCAGAAATTGATGCACAGGAAGTTCCACCTGAACATGAGGAAGAACTTCTTTACTGTGTCAGTGACTGTGCACTGGAACCAATCACCCACAGAGGTTGTGGAGTCTCCCTCACTAGAGAGATTCAGTAATGGTCTGGTCACAGCCCTGAGTAACATGCTCTAGGATGGTCCTGCTCGAGCAGGGAAGTTGGGCCAGATGACCCACGGTGGTCCCTTCCAACCTTACCCATTCTGTGATAAGAAAATATATGAGGAAACCAGACTACGACAACCTGTTGTTCCTTGGTATTCAGTCCATCTTTAGGACAAGTTGGCCTATTTTTCCAGAGGTTTTGACTATTCAGGACTAACAGCAGTCTTGAGTTGAGTCTACCTGTGCAAAGTTGGGTAAATGATGCTCCTAGCCACAAAATTAATTCTTACTGAAATTCTACTTGAGTATTTTGTGTGAAACATAATTGAGAAGACAGCTAGGCAAAGGCTCAAATTTTAGTCATTTTTACTTTTTACAGCACTCTTTCCTTTCTGACCATCAGCGGCATGTATTTTAAAAGTGTATTTCTTTAATTCAAGAAGACAGTCATGTCCTGCAGCAGTGACTGCTCTGCCCCCAAGTTGATCAATATCCTTTCATTAATTTTGCTTCATTCTGGACTCTAGCCTCTACAGTTCAACAGTCAACTCAAATTTTAGGTGGGTGGGTGTCTACTGGAGCACATCACTCACAGCTTAACAGGTCCCAGAGCCCAGGGAATCCACAGGGCAGTCCAGACTCACAGCTGTGGCAAGGTGACTTAAAATCTTGCTAACAGTCCTCCTCCCTTGTGAGATCTCCAAGCAGGACAGCTTTCTTCCTGTATAAATCTGTAGTATAGCTAATCTTTACCACGGAAGTATTGCCACATTTTAATTGATCCTCTGAGATATAACAATACACATACCAAAATGAAGGTTAAGTTCGAATCTAAGCTGGAAGGATGAAATACACTTTTTGTTTTAATTTGTTCAGTACTCTGCTTCCCTTTGGTTCAGCACTGTCCTGTTTTTGACCCAAGGTCCCAAACCAGCACACAGATTACCCAATTCCAAAATGAGTTCCCTGCTAACCCAAATGGCAGATGGCCACACCACAAAGATAAAACATGATGTGGTTCCAGCTTGCAGCAGGAAGCTAAAGCAAAGCATCAAACAATCTCTGGAACCGGAAACTCTGGAACTTTGTATTCCTTCTCCTGGCAGGGTAACTACTGATAAAACTATTTGAAAATCATGCAACTGAAAATTTGAAAGCCGGTTTCCTAGGAGTTATTGAGAACATCAGAAAATTCAGCAAGTTTACTTGCACTGTAGTTATTTCTTCCTCAAGTACTTGCAAGTATAGAGTGGCAGAAGAGTAACACCAAAACACAGGAATCAGTGGCCTTCAAGCCATAGGGTACCTCTCACTCACCTATTCTATTTAATGAACTTGCATGAAAACAGGGTTTAAAGAATAACAAGTAACATGGTACATCAACTGAAGAGAAAGCAAGTTGGAGTTTTCTCTCTGTTTTGCAGCAGCTGCCAGGAGCTGGTTCACAAAGCATGATAGACTGGATCTTTTCTGACAACATTAAAATTAAAAATGAAATTGTTTTCCATTATTAATTATAGAAATGTACCTCTTGCTCTGAGAGCTCTCAGAAATGGTGAAACAGCATCTGGTAGCAGCGCAATGTAGGCATATAAACCTCAGCAGACAATAAGATGCTTGGAAGAGTTTGCCTCAGATTCAACAAAATGTCAAGTTTACTTTCCATCTGACAGAGCAAACATTTTTATTAGAAGCCACTACAGAAATAGCACCGAAGACCTGACAGCCTCAATGTGACACAGGCATGCACATACAAGCACCCACTCTTGCTCTGTATTATTACTTTTTAACTCTTACTTTGAAATCACTTGCAGATGTTACAACACAGTTACCACTTCTATCCAGTGGCACAATCCCAGTGAAGCTTAAGCCAGGACAAATGAGGTGGAACCAGGTCCTGTCACACATCCATAGATTTTAGTGGGTAACATGTAGATATTATGGAGGTGACAATGGAAGAGGAAACGCCTTTCAGGTTGAGAGAAAATGTTTGGTTAGTAATTTCATTAACCTGCAAATTTAATGGCATCAGATTTTGCTTCATATTTATAAATAAATAATGGTCACCTGTCTTCCTGGGTTAACAATACCACAAGAACAACAACATCATAGCACACAGGCTTGTAGAATTAACTTACTGCTATGTTTTGTTACTGCTCTCCCCTCCCTGTCCTTTCTACTCTCATTCTGCTGCAAAAAATAACACATCACTAAGGACATGGGACTTGTGACCCACTTCCCCAGAAACATCTCCCACCTCATCCCCAGGAACAACAAAGACTCTCCATTTGCCTCCCTTCAAAAGACTCTTATTCCCAATGCTTATGAAGCAAGACACAAATCCAGGAACCAGCCCATTCAGAAGCCTGAAGAGCCTTCCCAGTGCAAATACATTTCCAAATTTGGAAAAAAGCACAAATGGGACATAGACTGGGTCTTTCATATTTCTATTCTGAGACTTATAAAATTCCATCTCAACCATTGACTTTATTAAAACAAACAACAAACAAACAAAAAGAAAAAAACCCACCAGGTAAATTCTATTAACATGTTCCTGCATGGTAAGTGAATTATAAACCAGCAAAGTTTCTAGACAAGAGTTTCTTTGAGTTTTCTTGAGTCTAAGCAAACTCTCCCAAAGTACTGTCATTGCTTCACAGATCCCAGGAAGTTTCCAGATTCTATACATAAAGGTTGTAATTCTATAGTATAGTAAATACAATCCTATAATATGATAACTATATTCAAAAGTTCCATCTTAGTTATGATATCATAGGATTGTATTCACTATATTATAGAATTATAGAGCTGCATGAATGGACCATGGCAGAAGCTTATGGTGAAATCCTACTCTCTTCATCAACCTTACACTGAGTAAGCTGCAGAATATGTAATGAAAACCCTAAAACCAGAGGCAGTGTTCTGAAAGCTCAAAAAATTCAGAAACATCAGGTGAAAAAGCAAAGCACTCTCCACTAGCAGCATGAGAGCCCTGCAAACCTACAGGGTTCAGAGCTTGTGTGCTTCCAGGTCAGGTTTGGAGGTTCTTGCTAAGGTTCAAAATGTTCAGAAGTTCATAGGCATCTGCATGGTCACTCCAAGACAAATACTTCAGCAGACTGTCAATGTGACTTACCTACTAAGAACCCTTATCTACCTCTCATGAGTAAAATGTTTTCTTTGCTTATCTATAGGCTTCTGTTTTGCTTGTCTAGTAAATGATACATCTTTTCCTTATCTATGGATAAGGGGTGAGGGACTTTCTTTTTTGATCCCACTTGCAAATCCTCAAGACATCTCAAGATTAGGGATTTCATATAGCC